CCGACCAATCAGCCTGTTACCGACCCTTAGTAAAGTTTAGGAAAAAATGGTGTTCGACCAGATAAAATGCTATTTCACAGTAAACAAATTGACAACAGACTTTCAGCACGCTTTTAGGGAAGGACATTCAACAAGCACAGCACTTACACAATGACTGATGATTTGCTGAGAGAAATTAATGCGGCAGGTAGCTTAGTGGTTAAGAGCGTTGTGCCAGTAACCGAATTGTCGCTGGTTCTAATCCCCGAGCCGACTAGGTGAAAAATCTGTCGGTGCCCTTGAGCAAGGCACTTAACCCTAATTGCTCCTGTAAGTCGCTCTGAATAAGAGTGTCTGCTAAATGACTAAAAAATAAAAATAATTTAAAATATTGTGGAGGCTGTTTTGTTAGACTTCAGTGCGGCTTTTGACATTATCGATCATAGTCTGTTGCTGGAAAAACGTATGTGTTCCCCAGGGCAGCTGTCTAGGCACCTTACTTTTTTCAATCTTTACTAACGACATGCCACTGGCTTTGAGTAAAGTATGTCTATGTATGCGGATGACTCAACACTATACACGTCAGCTACCACAGCGACTGAAATGACAGCAACACTTAACAAAGAGCTGCAGTTAGTTTCAGAATGGGTGGCAAGGAATAAGTTAGTCCTAAATATTTCAAAAACTAAAAGCATTGTATTTGGGACAAATCATTTACTATACTGTTCAGTCGTGTGGTCAGGTGCTACAAAGAGGAACTTAGAAAAATTGCAATTGACTCAGAACAGGGCAGCACGGCTGGCCCTTGGATGTACCAGAGAGCTAACATTAATAATGGCTCAAAGTGGAGGAGAGATTGACTCAATATTAGGAAGGTGTTCCTAATGTTTGGCATACTCAGTTTGTGGATTTAGCAGTGGCGTAAAGACTCAGGGAACCTTGAGAGGAACCAGACTCAATCGTTACTCTGAACATAAGAGGTTGTGTTGGACTTAGAAGTGTGTAAAGACTCAAGCAGGCATGCCAACTGTGTCACACTATATATGTGATGTGATAACCATCTGGACAGAACCATCTGGACAGTAAGCTGGTGTTGAGTATGTGCTGGGCATATTTGGTATTTGTCTGGCGCTGGTATGATGACTGTAGCAGCAGTGGTCACCTGGAGGACTCTCTACACTTTGCAGGCTTTTGTTTCCAGCCCAGCACTTGCACACCTGATTCTACTTATCAAGAATGATCTATGATTGGTTGATTATTGGAAACAGATGTGTTAGTGCTGGCTGGAGCAAAAGCCTGCTCCCCCAGTACGACCAGTGTTGCTGCTGTACTGTAGCAGACAGTATTGTGTGTGTGTGTGAGTTCTCTGACGGGTGTGTTTCTCCTCCTGTCCTACAGAGGGAACCAGAGCGGGAGGAGCAGCCTGAAGACGCCAACATGCCTCCCAAGTTTAAACGACACCTCAACGATGAAGAGGTCACCGGATCCATACGCAGCGAGAGGGTGAGACCCAGGTGGAGGGAGTCAGGTTCAATGGTTTCTATTAGTCACGTTTACAAAAACATTTGTTTCCCCAGTGCATTTAAGACCTGAAATGAAAAACAAGGGGAGAGAGATGTTAACATTTTACATTTACATTTTAGTCATTTAGCAGACGCTCTTATCCAGAGCGACTTACAGGAGCAATTAGGGTTAAGTGCCTTGCTCAAGAGCACATCGACAGATTTTTCACCTAGTCAGCTCGGAGATTAGAACCAGCAACCTTTCGGTTACTGGCACAACGCTCTTAACCACTAAGCTACCTGCCGCCCCGTTAAGAGAGGGACATTGCAGGGAGACGGGAACCCTTCCCTGAGGTTCAGAGAGGACACCTTCCTCCTCTGTCTCAGCATTGTGTTATTGTGTTCAGCTGAGATCAAAGAGAAACACACACACACACACACCCCTCTCCATCCTCCTTTCTCCATCCCCTCTTCTCTGATAATAGCTCCCAGTCCTCTCCTGGCTCCTGGGACCAAACATCCAGGAGTTGGACAGAGCAGAGCAGTGACATGCAGTCAGATGGCTAGGATGGAACATGGGTAGTGGAGAGGCAGAAAGGGCATTTGAACCACTCCTCAGATAAAGGCTTAAGTCATTATTATCATATGGATTACATTCCTCCAGTTACCTGAGATATATTTATATGCAGTAAGAAATATATTTATATCATTAAATATATGCAGCCGTTTTTATCTCGATATCAAATCATTTCTGGGTAACAATTAAGTGCTTTACTGTGATCATTTTCAATTAAAATGGTCAAAAGAAACAAAAATAGCTTCTTAGCTAAATGCAATATCTCTTAACAAGAATTTAGCTAGGACTGTTTGAGGAGTGGTCTGAGAGAGGGGCATAATTGGAGGAGCCTAATGGGAGGGATGTGTCTGATTCTTGACCTCTAACCTCTGACCTCTCACAGAGGAACCTGTTGGAGGAAGACTCTGATGAAGAGGAGGACTTCTTCCTGTGAGTAATAATCCCATATACATTGTTTGTGTCTGAAATGACTACCTATTTCTGCCTTCGAACAGAGCCCACATTGGGATGTAAGGCTGTGTATGTGGAGCCAACAGATTATCTGTATGCTTGTCTTTCAGGAGGGGACCAACTGGACCCAGATTTGGAGCCGGAAATGACAAAATCAGACAGTAAGTTTGTGTGTGTGTGCGTGAGTGCGTGTGTGTGTGTGTTTGGTGTGTGTCTGTGTGTGTGTGTGTGTGTGTTTGGGAGGGGTGCTTGAGTCATATTAGAAATTATAAACAAAATACGTAATTCCCTTGTTTCTTAATATTGAATTTCCTGCACCATTAACAAATATTTTTTTATGAGTTCTTTGGATTAATTATACACTGCTCAAAAAAATAAAGGGAACACTAAAATAACACATCCTAGATCTGAATGAATGAAATAATCTTATTAAATACTTTTTTCTTTACATAGTTGAATGTGCTGACAACAAAATCACACAAAAATTATCAATGGAAATCAAATTTATCAACCCATGGAGGTCTGGATTTGGAGTCACCCTCAAAATTAAAGTGGATAACCACAATACAGGCTGATCCAACTTTGATATAATGTCCTTAAAACAAGTCAAAATGAGGCTCAGTAGTGTGTGTGGCCTCCACGTGCCTGTATGACCTCCCTACAATGCCTGGGCATGCTCCTGATGAGGTGGCGGATGGTCTCCTGAGGGATCTCCTCCCAGACCTGGACTAAAGCATCCGCCAACTCCTGGACAGTCTGTGGTGCAACGTGGCGTTGGTGGATGGAGCGAGACATGATGCCCCAGATGTGCTCAATTGGATTCAGGTCTGGGGAACGGGCGGGCCAGTCCATAGCATCAATGCCTTCCTCTTGCAGGAACTGCTGACACACTCCAGCCACATGAGGTCTAGCATTGTCTTGCATTAGGAGGAACCCAGGGCCAACCGCACCAGCATATGGTCTCACAAGGGGTCTGAGGATCTCATCTCGGTACCTAATGGCAGTCAGGCTACCTCTGGCGAGCACATGGAGGGCTGTGCGGCCCCCCAAAGAAATGCCACCCCACACCATGACTGACCCACCGCCAAACTGGTCATGCTGGAGGATGTTGCAGGCAGCAGAACGTTCTCCACGGCGTCTCCAGACTCTGTCACGTCTGTCACATGTGCTCAGTGTGAACCTGCTTTCATCTGTGAAGAGCACAGGGCGCCAGTGGTGAACTTGCCAATCTTGGTGTTCTCTGGCAAATGCCAAACGTCCTGCACGGTGTTGGGCTGTAAGCACAACCCCCACCTGTGGACGTCGGGCCCTCATACCACCCTCATGGAGTCTGTTTCTGACCGTTTGAGCAGACACATGCACATTTGTGGCCTGCTGGAGGTCATTTTGCAGGGCTCTGGCAGTGCTCCTCCTGCTCCTCCTTGCACAAAGGCGGAGGTAGCAGTCCTGCTGCTGGGTTGTTGCCCTCCTACGGCCTCCTCCACGTCTCCTGTTGTACTGGCCTGTCTCCTGGTAGCGCCTCCATGCTCTGGACACTACGCTGACAGACACAGCAAACCTTCTTGCCACAGCTCGCATTGATGTGCCATCCTGGATGAGCTGCACTACCTGAGCCACTTGTGTGGGTTGTAGACTCCGTCTCTTGCTACCACTAGAGTGAAAGCACCGCCAGCATTCAAAAGTGACCAAAACATCAGCCAGGAAGCATAGGAACTGAGAAGTGGTCTGTGGTCACCACCTGCAAAACCAGTCCTTTATTGGGGGTGTCTTGCTAATTGCCTATAATTTCCACCTGTTGTCTATTCCATTTGCACAACAGCATGTGAAATGTATTGTCAATCAGTGTTGCTTCCTAAGTGGACAGTTTGATTTCACAGAAGTGTGATTGACTTGGAGTTACATTGTGTTGTTTAAGTGTTCCCTTTATTTTTTTGAGCAGTGTATTATTGAAGAACTACATGTGTTTCTGTGGAACTGCTGAACACAGTTGATTTTGATGGTTCTGGATACAATACCACTGCCTCCTTGTAGTACTGCCTCTTACTGGAACCGTCGCTGATTCCAAGGTAGAGTTCGTCTTTTGGGAAACAGGTGGTCTAGCGGTTGGTCTAGTAGTCTACTGCATGTTTGTTCTCGAATCACAGACCCACCACTCTTCCTCTGTCCTGTTTATTGCTGTCTGCCTGTCTGTGTCTACCTGTCTGTGTCTATCTGCCTGTGTCTGTCTGTCTGTCTGTTCAGTAAAAATACAAAAGAGCGGTAATTTCCAGAGAGACAGAGGTCCCTTGGTACATCACGGATTTCTTGACGTAGCCGGTCAGGTCGGTGCCCTTGAGCCAGTGCTTGGTGTAGTCAAAGACCCCTCTTCTGGAGCTCTTGGAGGACAGCTTGGCACAGAACTCGCTATGTTTCTCCAGGCGGCTGGGATCAAAGCACCGGCCGCAGTGCTCACACGGCTTCATCTTGAAGTTGGCAGCACTCATCCCAAATCAACGTTTCGTCTCCACCTGAATGAAGGAATTAGCCTAATTCGTTTATTAGTTTGGCAAATTTAAAATAGATTGAGTTTTCCTTATGAATACAACACTACACAGATTAAAATGGTCAAGGATAAAAATCACAGTCAACTGAGATTTTCCATTGTGGTCCTCCTCGTTATTAGATGGGCAAAGGAATGCACAGCTCAGGCAAGACTGTGCATTGGGCACTCTAAAGGCACTTTACATTTAATTAAATTGAAGAAAAAAATACATTATACAAATAGGCCTACTTATGATCACAACACTGAATTATATCAGCAGTAGACTAATTCACCTCTCCGTCCTTCTTTTTCTCATTCTCTTCGTTCACTCTCTTCTTGACTTGGACCCACTCCTTGCTCACTCATCTTTACATTTTACATGTATTTTTTTTCATCTCACATCTGCTGTCTGCTTTGGCTTACTTGCCACGCTGCCCTCTTCTCAGTTTTTCATCGCCTCTTTCCTCCTCTCTTCCTCCTCTTCGTTATCACTTATCTTCCATAGGTCAGAATCCACCTTCATCTGGCTGATCTCCTGGATGTACTTCTCCACCTTCATCTGGCAGATCTCCTGGATGTACTTCTCCACCTTCATCTGGCTGATCTCCTGGATGTACTTCTCCACCTTCATCTGGCTGATCTCCTGGATGTACTTCTCCACCTTCATCTGGCAGATCTCCTGGATGTACTTCTCCACCTTCATCTGGCAGATCTCCTGGATGTACTTCTCCACCTTCATCTGGCAGATCTCCTGGATGTACTTCTCCACCTTCATCTTGAACTGTTCCTTTGCTTTCTTCTCCTCCAAAGCCTGGGCCTCCATCTTGGCCCCACTCTTCATCAGGTTCCATTCCTGGCTGACACTGATCAGCCTCCAGGTAGAAGACATCCCATACCATCCCATTGGGGCATGGCGGTAGATCCTGTACAGTTAGGGTCTGAGTTGAACTGAATGTGTTTCTTCACGATTTGCCCTCTGGTCCGACAGGCCGGAATAGCTCCTTCTTGGCATCATTGTTTGGCACAGTGACACTGGCTCTAGTGGGACACTTGGCTGCCTGGACTGCCTTCCAATGGCTTGGCGCTATGGAGGTAGATGTCTTTCACCACACAGGTTTGATCCCTCTTGGTCTGGATGAGTCGCAGTGGCTTCCAGATGTGAGGAAAAGTAGCCTTCCCTCTCTGCTGAGATGTTGGAGCTGCATTGACTCTTCCCATTGCAGAGGGCACTCTTCTTCTGCAGTACTGGGATTCTGGAGGGAGGATGTGGCTTCTTTTCCTCATTCTCAATCTTTTCCACAGCCTTCAAACTGGCAAGTTTAAATAAATACACAATGAGTAATGATAACTTGGCTATATACACGGTGTACCAGTACTGAGTCGATGTGCAGGGGTACGAGGTAATTGAGGTAGATATGTACATATAGGTATGTGTAAAGTGACTAGGCAACAGGATAGATAAACAGTAGCAGCAGCCTATGTGATGAGTCAAAAGAGTTAGTGCAAAAAGGGTCAATGCAGATAGTCCGGTTAACTATTTAGCAGTCTAATGGCTTGGGGGTAGAAGCTGTTCAGGGTCCTGTTGGTTCCAGACTTGGTGCATCGGTACCGCTTGCTGTGCGGTAGCAGAGGGAACAGTCTGTGACTTGGGTGGCTGGAGTCTTTGACAATTTTTAGGGCCTTCCTCTGACACCGCCTCGTATAGAGGTCCTGGATGGCAGGGAGCTCGACCCCAGTGATGCACTGGGCCGTTCACACTACACTCTGTAGCGCCTTTCAGTTGGATGCCAAGCAGTTGGCAAACCAGTCAAGATGCTCTCAGTGGTGCAGCTGTATAACTTTTTAAGGTCTGTGGCCCTTGCTAAATCTTTTCAGCCTCCTGAGGGGGAAGAGGCATTGTCGTGCCTTCTTCACGACTGTGTTGGTGTGTGTGGACCATGTTCATTCTTTAGTGATGTGGACACTGAGGAACTTGAAGCTCTTGACCCGCTCCACTACAGCCCTGTCGATTTGGATGGGGGCGTGCTTGGCCTTTCGTTTTCTGTAGTCCACGATCAACTCCTTTGTCTTGCTGACATTGAGGGAGAGATTGTTGTCCTGGCACCACACATGCCAGGTCACTGACCTCCTCCCTATAGGCTGTCTCTTTGTCGTCGGTGATTAGGCCTACCAACGTTGTGTCGTCAGCAAACTTAATGATGGTATTGGAGTCGTGCGAGGCCACACGGTCGTGGGTGAACAGGGAGTACAGGAGGGGACTAAGCATGCATGTGTTGAGGGTCAGCGTGGCAGATGTGTTGTTTCCTACCCTCACCATCAGGGTTTGGCTGTCAGGAAATCCAGAATCCAGTTGCAGAGGGAGCTGTTCAGTCCCAGGATCCTGAGCTTAGTGATGAGTGATGACTCTCAGCTGTGGGAGGGGCTACTCCTACAATTTAGCGCTGATTTTCTTAATTTTAGGCTCAAAAGAAGCGCGTCGTCCTCTTAAATGCCACTAGCCGGTCTGGGGACACGCACCACAGGTCTGGTGCGAGGAGCAGGAACGGGCCGGGCCGGACTGGGGACAAGCACCACAGGTCTGGTGCGAGGAGCAGGAACGGGCCGGGCCGGACTGGGGACACGCACCACTGGTCTGGTGCGAGGAGCAGGAACGGGCCGGGCCGGACTGGGAACACGCACCACTGGCCTGGTGCGAGGAGCAGGAACGGGGCGTACCGGGCTGGCAACACGCACCACTGGTTTGGTGCGAGGAGCAGGCACGAGCCATGCCGGACTGGAGACATGCACCACTGGTTTGGTGCGGGGAGCCGGTACGGGCCGTACCGGACTGGGAACACGCACCACTGGTTTGGTGCGAGGAGCAGGCACGGACCTTACCGGACTGGGAGCACGCACCACTGCCTTGGTGCGAGGAGCAGGCACGGATCTTACCGGACTAGGAGCATGCACCACTGGCTTGGTGCGAGAAGCAGGCACTGGGAACCGGCGCTGGAGGTCTACAACTGTACCAGTCCTTTACTCTCTGCGCCCAATCCTCCTCCAGTGAGGACTCCTCCAGGGAGCCCCCACGAGTTAGGGAACAGAAACTCATCGTCATCCTCCGACTCCTCAATGTAAAACTGTTCCCATTCCTGTTCCCATGGTCGTAGGGACTCAAACTGGAACCCCACCGGGTGCAGTGGTCGGGGCTCTTCTCTCTCGATCCTCGACCACCCCTTTAGCCCGCCATTTTTTTTTTCTTGGGGCTGCCTCTCGGCCTTCCTCCTCGGCCGGCGCCATCGGTGTCGCCGTTGCTCCTCTCTAACCCGGGCTTCCTCTGTCTGTTCCCAAGGACGGCGATCCATCCCAGCCTGGATCTCCTCCCATGTCCAAGATCCCTTACCATCCAGGATCTCCTCCCATGTCCAGGATGTCTGCTCCTGGCCACGCTGCTTGGTCCTCGTTTGGTGGGATCTTCTGTCACGATTGTTAAGAGACGGGTCGGACCAAGGTGCAGCGTGAAAAGCGTACATGTTTATTATATAGAATAAACATACAAAACAATGTGACATCAAAGTCCTATGGGCTATACAACAACCAGCCTACACAGAACAAGATCCCACAAACAAGGACTGCAACCAGGCTACTTAAGTATGATCCCCAATCAGAGACAACGAGTGACAGCTGCCTCTGATTGGGAATCATACCCGGCTAAACATAGAAGTATAACAACTAGAATCTAAACATAGATATACAACAACATAGAACTAAACATGCACACCCTGACTAAACTAACTAGAGTTCTAGAGGTCAGGGCGTGACAGTAAGCGTTTGTAGGCCAATTTTGAATCTGTAAATTGACTACATTAGCCATAATGAACATTGACTGGACATTTCAAATTACCATGGCTATTATCCATCACAATAGTAATATTAATTAATGCAACATGCAGCAATCCACGGTATAGAAGGGATAGTATCAACTGCACTGCTGTACTTATACTATATGATGGCCGTGTGTATTTTTTTTTGGCAGATCTCATGACCCGCTGCTCTTTTTTCCCTAACTCAAACTAACCCTCAAATCCTTTCAAATAATGCTGTCAAATAAAGCAATGTACATAATGAGTCAAATAGGCACTAGGCCTAAAACATAGGCAACAAACGTGAGCTGGTAGATTAGTCAGCCCACACTGCAGAGGTTAAAATTACACTCCCAGTTTGGATGTTTGAGGTGCGCAGCAGACATTCAGGACTAGGGTTGAATATTTTCCAGGTATTTTACAAATGTCCCATCCCAAGAATAAATCACGTTTCTCCTGGGTAACCCGGTATTTCCCGCCAAAACCGGAAGTGTCATTCAAAAGCATTATAAAGCATATAAATATGTCTGGATTTGATTAGAGCTTTGATCAGCATGAAAATTCTAACTTGATGCTACCTGAGCCTGATGAGCCCTACATTAATGACATTTTAAACAGCCCAAATGATTGTGCCGTTATCCAATACATATATGATATAAGCTACTGCACATTACGCGCGACAGAAAAACATAAAAGCCCATAGATGTACAGTTGAAGTCGGAAGTTTACATACACTTAGGTTGGAGTCATTAAAACTCGTTTTTCAACCACTCCACAAATGTCTTGTTAACAAACTATAGTTTTGGCAAGTTGGTTAGGACATCTACTTTGTCCATGACACAAGTAATTTTTCCAACAATTGTTTACAGACAGATTATTTCACTTATAATTCACTGTATCACAATTACAGTGGGTCAGAAGTTTACATACACTAAGTTGACTGTGCCTTTAAACAGCTTGGAAAATTCCAGAAAATGATGTCATGGCTTTAGAAGCTTCGGATAGGCTAATTGACATCATTTGAGTCAATTGGAGGTGTACCTGTGGATGTATTTCAAGGCCTACCTTCAAACTCAGTGCCTCTTTCCTTGACATCATGGGAAAATCAAAAGATATCATCCAAGACCTCAGAAAAAAATGTGTAGACCTCCACAAGTCTGGTTCATCCTTGGGAGAAATTTCCAAACGCCTGAAGGTACCACGTTCATCTGTACAAACAATAGTACGCAAGTATAAACACCATGGGACCATGCAGCCGTCATACCGCTCAGGAAGGAGACACGTTCTGTCTCCTAGAGATGAACATACTTTGGTGCGAAAAGTGCAAATCAATCCCAGAACAACAGCAAAGGACCTTGTGAAGATGCTGGAGGAAACAGGTACAAGAGTATCTATATCCACAGTAAAACGAGTCCTATATCGACATAACCTGAATGGCCGCTCAGCAAGGAAAAAGCCACTGCTCCAAAACCGCCATAAAAAAGCCAGACTACGGTTTGCAACTGCACATGGGGACAAAGATCACACTTTTTGGAGAAATGTCCTCTGGTCTGATGAAACAAAAATAGAACTGTTTGGCTATAATGACCATCGTTATGTTTGGAGGAAAAAGGGGGTTGCTTGCAAGCCGAGGAACACCATCCCAACCGTGAAGCACGGGGGTGGCAGCATCATGCTGTGGGGGTGCTTTGCTGCAGGAGGGACTGGTGCACTTCACAAAATAGATGGCATCATGAGGAAGGAAAATTATGTGGATATATTAAAGCAACAACTCAAGACATCAGTCAGGAAGTTAAAGCTTGGTCGAAAATGGGTCTTCCAAATGGACAATGACCCCAAGCATACTTCCAAAGTTGTGGCAAAATGGCTTAAGGACAACAAAGTCAAGGTATTGGAGTGGCCATCACAAAGCCCTGACCTCAATCCTATAGAAAATGTGTGGGCAGAACTGAAAAAGCGTGCGCGAGCAAGGAGGCCTACAAACCTCACTCAGTTACACCAGCTCTGTCAGGAGGAATGGGCCAAAATTCACTCAACTTATTGTGGGAAGCTTGTGGAAGGCTACCCGAAATGTTTGACCCAAGTTAAACAATTTAAAGGCAATGCTACCAAATACTAATTGAGTGTATGTAAACTTCTGACCCACTGGGAATGTGATGAAAGAAGTAAAAGCTGAAATAAATCATTCTCTCTGCTATTATTCTGACATTTCACATTCTTAAAATAAAGTGGTGATCCTAACTGACCTAAGACAGGGAATTGTTACAACGATTAAATGTGAGGAATTGTGAAAAACTGAGTTTAAATGTATTTGGCTAAGGTGTATGTAAACTTCCGACTTCAACTGTACCTGTGTTGAACTGCTTTCCCTCATCTCATATTTAAACAGTACGTTTCCTTG